TTGAAAGTAAAAGATAACAATTTCTTGCTGCCGTCAAAACCGTAATCATATTCTTCAAAATTTACCCAATCTCAAACCAAAATGTGCAAATCTTGGAAAGGTTTCTTTTTGCTGTCGCTAAACATCGCTCCAAATACCGCAAATAACTAAAAATAAATAAATAAATTCGCGTAAGTAAAAATAAAAACTTTACTTGTAGAACTCCAAGCTGCTCTAAATCAAGTTTATTCTGGATGTTGTAAATGTGAACTGAGCTAATTAATGCACTAAGGGCAAAAATCTTAGTGCACTCAGCGTAAGAGGTTTGGTGATCAGACGTTCCTTGAGTATCCATCAAAATTATAGCAATCTAAAACATAGAACCACATGTTCTTTTTTGTTAACCATAATCAAGGATTCTACTTTTTTGCCTTCTTTTGTTTTCGTTAAAAATATTTCGGGATATATAAGTATACCATCTGTAACTCTCTGCGGACTTTTTTCCCATAAAAATCCATGAGTCAGGGTATCGCCAACATCCATCCATTCTTGTTCACTTTGACACTGAGAAATATACAAATTCAAGAAAAGCAACACATGTAAAATATCTACTGTTTATTTTTTTAATAAACATAACAATACTAAGACGTTTTTGAGGTAAACATCACGTGGTACCGAAATTAATTGAATGCCAACTGTGGAAACTGTAGTGATTATTATTTGTGGAAAGACGTGTACTTTTAACAACGATTTATTGATATTATGCACATGTCATTATATATACTTGAGAATAAAATTATTTATGTATTTTTGCGACGCGTGCCCGTTGACGGGTTGTTGGTGACTCTCCGTCCGCCGGCCGTTCGTCCAGGAGGGCGGTGATGAATAATTTTGGGGGTGGTACCGAACACCCGACGAGAGCCGAGCAGCCGAGAACTCCGGGTGGTACCACACACCAACTCTGATTCAAAAGGTTTTTGATCGTATACTATCCTCAAAGATATTTGGCGTTTATGACTTCACACCAATTTGACTCCCATTATAATTCAATAGGCCGTCACAACCGGATGTCTTAAACCCGCTCACCGATACCTACCTGAAAAGACCTTTTCTGGTAAAAGCACAGGGCAGGACTGAGTTTTGCATTTACCGACAACTGCGCCTTTCGAGTTTTTTATTTTAAGTAAAAACAAAGTAACTTTGTACTCAATCATTTTTTATTACAGCACAACTATTTACTTATTAACTACTACTGCTTATTTATTGATCGAAATAGTCACTGTCATCATCACTCGACTCTTCTAAATTAATAATTAACGGTGTTATCAACCGTGCCCTGTACTGGTCTTCTTCTTTTGTGGAATGTCGTACACAATTGGCCCACATTTCGGCAGTTATTTTGGAAGCTTCTTCCCTAATTATGTCAATTGTTGCACTACTAAATTTTGGTGCCGTATTATTCCTTCTTATATTATTTTTCATTTGCGACCAGATTAGTTCGATGGGGTTAAATATACAATGGTACGGCGGAAGTGTGATGTAGAGAGCGGATTTCGGTCGGGCTAGACAAGGCCAAACTCGGTACGGCTCGTACGGGAGGGGAATTCATTGCAGTTACGGGCTGCACTTCGTTTATTTGAGATTAGAATACCGCTGCTTCGTTGCACTCTGTTGTTAATTCCAGTTCTCATTTACTTAGCCGTTTGATTAATAAATCGTTAATTGTACTTATGGAATAAGTGATATTCAAATTCAGTGATTATCTATCACCCGCTACTGAGTCCCGGCGATCCAGCGCGTCCCCATCTATAATCGTGACGTAGCCCGACAGAAATCCGCTGTCTACTAATCACCCTAAATCCACGATCTCGCGCCATAGCATCTATTTTATATTGTTTCTCAAATTTTCGAGTGTGTAACACTTCTAATAATTGTGTCTTTGTGTAATTTTCTTCAAAGTATAAATCATGTTCCGTAAGGAAATTTTGAAATTTGAAAATTTTAACAAACAAAATTACTCTGAGTCCGGTCCTTCGCGTCTCGACCGTCCCTGGCACGTCGAAAAGGTCTTTTCAGGTAGGTATCGGTGAGCGGGTTTAAGACATCCGGTTGTGACGGCCTATTGAATTATAATGGGAGTCAAATTGGTGTGAAGTCATAAACGCCAAATATCTTTGAGGATAGTATACCACTTTAATCCCATCATAGAAAATTAGTCGAACGACTTTATACAAAACTTCCCTCGCTCCTAAAGTACAGTGTGACAAACATAACTTGCTCGAAAAATAATTTATGTAATTCATTATTTTTTTAAATCATCCTGTTTAAGCAATTTAAGAAAACAAGTATCTTATGTCATAAAATGTAGATAGTACTTAGCATGCAAAATTTTGAAATCATTCGTAACTATAATTAGACAAATTTCGATTACCATTTTATCATCTACACGATATTCCTAAAATACATATAAAATCTGACAACAATCGGTTGTGGTGGGTAGTTTCGGAAATTATCTATCTAAGACAGATGGAACCTATTACAATATTACTTTAACGTAAACCCGAGAAACAAAAATTAGAAAATATTTTTAAAAGCGTACAACACTTCACCTTTTTCCTAAGACAATGCAAAAAGAAATTGAGAAGAAAAGATTTGCCGGTTCTATAGCTTCCATTGACGGAAATTACGCAAACTTTGTAATCCTTGAACTTATCGTTTTTTAGTCACTCTTAGTGATCTTCGTAAAGTATCATTTTTCCCGTCTTTGTATCGATTTTGAATATTCGGATGGCATCTTGTCCGTTACTCTGAAAACAATCCAAAAAATCGTGGTGTGTTGATTTTGTAAAGGTCTGATAAAGCTGTTTTAATTTAAGTCGGTCCCGGATTGGATGACTGTAATCAAAGATAATTTATTTGTGTAATCTTTAGACTTCTATTATTTTAAATGATACGGATACCTTTTAATACTTCCATTTTTTGGACGGATGGACACACTTTTAAATGAACGCTTTATAATAATAGCTGAACGTGAAGCCATTCTGAAGCACTTTATTTACATTTCAGCTTTTAGTTATCTTTAAATTAAAGCATCATCATATGATTCCACTGTTCAAGGAAGCAACTTTTCTGTAACGGTTCCATGTGAAAATAAGCATCAACTCTACGTTTTAATGCCTGAGCAATATCTAAGGGCAGTTATGTTCGTTAAATACAAATTTTTTTATGATACTACTTTGATGTTGAAGAAACCTGTTTTATTGAAACGAAAATGTGTTGTTTGTTATGGAATAATTTTAAAAATAATTATTTTGAAAATTAAAACTCACTATTCTTAATTCCTACATCTGAAAGTATAGACAGTCGCAATTTGTTAATGGAAGAAAATTTTTCCCATCACAGAATGGTTTCTTTTGTTTCATGATTTTTTTTTGCAAAATTTTATAAAATTTATCTTCGGATATCAAATATAGCTACTGTTATAGAACTAATTTAATTTCTAATCTGTTCAAAATTTCTTCAACTCCTTTCTTCTATATCTTTTGATATTTTGGAATTACATTTTTGTCTAATCCCTGAGAAAAATTTCTCCTCTTTTTATTAAAACGTTTCTTGGGAATTTTTTCTACGACTCCCTGTGCGATTGGTTTCTAAGAGAATTCAAAAGTCAGTTTGTCGTCTAGATCTGTTCATTTTTGTATCTTTGTTGTTGATGATGATTAAGCGAGTTTTAACTGAAGTTTTACGATTTTCAAGTTAATGATAAAAAACCATCCAGAATTTCCAAATCAGATAAAAATCATAATTAAACAATTCCTAATTTTAAAAAAGGTCAGATTATTTATTGATACATGGTTAAACAACAATAGGGAAGATAAAAATCACTATTAAAATTCTGTTCGCAAAATTAAACAAATGGGGGGACTACTTTATTTAATTTTTGGTAATTTTAGAACTAATGGTAGTTATGTTTGTTCCCCACAGTATTTAAAAACTGTGATAATCAAGTCTTCTTATGTTCTTTCATCACGGACGTATCAAGAGGTACTTACTTCAAGGCAAAATAAATATTTTATATATTATGTTACATAACTTTAATCAACGCTGATGTCATAAGTAAAAATCGAGATCTAGATTACACAATTTACACAACACCATAGGCACTTGGATGCTATAATCGTTATTTAGGGTGTTATTGAAAGGTACGTACAAAATAAAATCGGCAATTGGTCTCGAAGTATAGGTGCTATAAGTTACAAAAAGTTCAGGTAAAAGTGTTCTCCTTTTAGAGATAAAAATTATTAAAATTGATGTCCAAATTCGTTGTACCCCTCTGATAAAAAGATCATCTTTCGTTTCTATAGCAGCTTTTAGTCTTGACAAAAGTTTTATTGTTACAGTTGCTAGGATTTACTAAAATAAATTAATTTTACCTATTTATCCTTCACTAGCGACTAAAAAGGTTGGATAAGGGTTAATTTTCCCCTTATAATTTTGATAACACAAAATAAGTTTTTCAAATTTCTTAGACTTTGCGCGAAGAACTGTCCATTTTGTTGTACGTACCTTTAAATAACACCCTGTATTATTAAGACAATGCATATCATTACTTGGTCTCTATACCCGTAATGATAGAAGCCTTGCCTGAGTGCTAATCCGGGTCAGTATTGGGTCTAAAAAAATAATAATAATTTGCGCCATAACAAGGGCAGTCTTGAACTCCACACACCCTGAAATCTATATAATACTAGATATAAGTGGCCTGAAATAAAAACAACTGCATAGAAACTTCTTCAAAGACCTAAACGAAGCACACATCAACAAGAAAACGTGATTGATTTGGGTCAAAAAATCAAGCTTGTGTCTCGAAACAGAAGAATTTTTGTTATTGTTTTCTGTAATTTCGTAGCACAAATTGATTACAAAGCTAGACCGCAATAATTATTATTAGCATTTTTTTCTGCGTCGTAAAAATTCTCCAACTATGGGCAACATGCACCCAAAAAAATTAAACTCAATACTCTGTGGTCGAATCTGTAGTAAACGGTTTAATACTAAGATAATATAACAAGTTTCACAAATGAAAACAGCTGTGAAATATTATTTTATGTCTTATGACTAGAATACGAAGATTATTCAGGATTATTATTATCCGTTTTTTTTTCTTTTTACTATGAGTGTTCCAATTCCACGTGCAGCTGCACCAAGTCCAATTCCCACCAATCCACCGGCTCCTGTCAGTATAACACTCAAACCGGCGCCGCCTTTCATTCTACCAACAACTGCCCCAGCTGCTCCTAAAATGTTTGAAGTCCATTTACCAATACCTTCAGAAACATCATCGACATGGCGCATTCCAATTTCAGTTTTGTTATTTTCATATATCTGGGAACATTCCTACAATTGCAATTTATTAAAATACTATAACATTTACATTAAAAAAAAGTTACTGACTTCCTTCAAATATGTTCCAAATATGTTTCGTAATTCATCCTCGCAGTTCAACTCCTTTTCTTCAAATGTCACCACAATTCCCTGCATCTTTTTCTTCGCATCTGCTAAAGTTCTGCATTCTTTAACAAACGTGGAGTATTCAACTATCAGTTTCTTGACGTACTCGCAAGGTATGCGAAAATTAGTATATACCTTTTGAAGTGCCTGAAAATATATACAAGTGTCAGAATGATTTGTTGTGAAAGATTATAAATTCCGTATGGTTTTTGTGTTTGGCATATATTCCTTTTCTTCAAGCGTTCCATATTAAAATATGTAATTATTTACACTGAAAAAAACTTACTGCATCTAGGCGCTTCCTAAAATGATCTTGTAATTTCTTCTTGCAGTTGAATTTCTGTTCGTCAAATATCACTGAAATTCTCAGCCTCTCTGCAAGAGCTTCGTCTAAGGTCCTGTATTGTTTAATGCTTTCTAAGTATTCATCTATCAGTTGCTTCACATAATTGAAAATAACGCAAAAATCATCATAAACCTTATCAAGAAGCTAAAAATAATTTTGTTACAGTCGCTTTATTCATAGGTGTCAAGATTATTTGTTATGAAATAAGTAGATTCCGTATAATTTTGTTTAACATAAATTCCCTTTATGTCCGACTTCATAATATAGTCGCTACGGAAATATTTTGCGGCCGAAATTTGTTAAATTGCGCTATATTAGCTGAGCGCTTATATCAACTCTAGAATTTGCCAAAAAACTAACAGATGTCTTGTGGAAGCAGTGGCCAGTGAGGGAATCAAAATTAGGCGACAATACAGAGGACGCTACCAATTTTGTGGATTCCGACAGATTGACTTGTACATTTTTCTTTCTGATAATTTACAAAAAGTCTGTTGTGGGACGTTATTCATTTTCCCCTGGAAGAATAACCAAAGAACTCCCTTTTTTAAACTAGCTGAACTAATAAATATTTTTCTTGGTCCTTTACAATGTTAGCAGTTAAAGAGACTAATTTCTATATTCTATAATTATTCCATATAATAAACTTCGTAGCATACTTTTTTCAATAAATGCATTTTGTCATCACAATTCAACAAAAAAGAATCTACATTTTCTGGACATAATATAAGATACTGTTACGTTTGACGGGCGAATAATTAATCGGGCGTAGGTAAAAACTCAACAATTTATTTCTTTAACTGGTATTTACACGACTAACTGCGATTACGCACAAAACAACTTCGCAACTTAAATGCACTCTACTCTTGACTGAATAATGAAAGTCTGGTTCCCGACGGTGGCCTCTATTTAAATCCCCGCGTGCCTCTCGATGGATCCAGAACGTCGCATCGGAGTTTTCTGGACGCCGCAATCGAGACTTCTTCTCGGCTCGTCGCGACTTCCGCTTGCATTCGCGCGGCCGATGAGTCAGACTACATACGAGAAGCAACGCGTAGATGCTAGAAGACGCATAGGCGTCGTACCGGGGCGACGTATGGGCTTATTTCGTAACAATACTTTTTTGTCGTATATCCTTCTCCGTTTCTTTTCAAGTAGAAAATAGTGGTGGGAAATTGGCTAATATCTGTACTTTCTTTTCAATTAATTGTACTTCGCAACATAGAGTATTTCGTCCATAGACTGGACAATTCCAAAGAAGCGAGTTCAATATTCAGATAAGCCAATGTAGTAGGGGTATTCCATACCAAATCGACCACTTTTTAACCCGACCCCTTTTGATATGCCTGAAAGTTTTTCTTCCTTTTCTATCCTATAAAAGACGTTTCTCAGAATTTTTTCAATTTTTTTTACCCGACTCAAAAAAAGTTATGAATTTTTGAAAAAAACCGCTCATTTTTTTTTGAACTGCTAGAACTTTTTCAAAAATTGACCGTTTGGGACCGTTTTTTTTTCAAAATTTTTGTTTTTAAATGTACTTTTCGGAAAAAAATACACCAAAATTTTTAAAGTTCATCTTATAAGAAATTTTTCAGTTTTTTGAGAAAAACCATCAAATTTTCGAAGTTCGCCATTTTTTATTTTTTTTTTTTTTTTCTCATAAAAAACTTCAATCAATTCTCCAATTATCCCCACTAATCCCGGAGTGGGCCGATTCTTTTTTCTATTTTTTTTATTTAATTGAAAAAAAAATTGTTTATTTTCAAAAGAAAAAATTTTTTTTTATTTATATTATTTATATTATAAAAGAAATAAAATTAAAAGATTTTTAGGTAATATATTTTTTATTTATAATCTTAATCTACGATTAATATGACTGAGATTCAAATCTTAATAATACGTCAATCGGATCGATAAACTAGGGTATGACAATTACAGACTTACATATAGCCAGTTTATTCGATACACGCAAGTATGTTTTAATCCATAAATCTATACGGTTGTCTTAAATTGAGAGTTAGAACATAACCTATCCGAATATCTTAGATTAAGATTATAAATAAAAAATATATTACCTGAAAATCATTTAATTATGTTTCTTTTGTAATATAAATAATATAGATAAAAAAAAAATTGTTTACTATTGAAAATGAAAGGATTTTTTTTTCAATTAAATAAAAAAATAGAAAAAAGAATCGGCCCACTCCGGGATTAGTGGGGATAATTGGAGAATTGATTGAAGTTTTTTATGAGAAAAAAAAATAAAAAATAAAAAATGGCGAACTTCGAAAATTTGATGGTTTTTCTCAAAAAACTGAAAAATTTCTTATAAGATGAACTTTAAAAATTTTGGTGTATTTTTTTCCGAAAAGTACATTTAAAAACAAAAATTTTGAAAAAAAAACGGTCCCAAACGGTCAATTTTTGAAAAAGTTCTAGCAGTTCAAAAAAAAATGAGCGGTTTTTTTTCAAAAATTCATAACTTTTTTTGAGTCGGGTAAAAAAAATTGAAAAAATTCTGAGAAACGTCTTTTATAGGATAGAAAAGGAAGAAAAACTTTCAGGCATATCAAAAGGGGTCGGGTTAAAAAGTGGTCGATTTGGTATGGAATACCCCATTATCTTCTGTTGTTTTTCCGATTTTCTGCTTTCCGCGACCATTTTTTGTACGCGTCGTAAATTTCTTCGTATAAATCTCTTGACTGTATTCGGAGGAGTGTTTCTTTTGGTTTCCAGGTTATTTTTGTTATTTCCACCATTATTTTTCGCAAATAAAGAACAATTTCACGATTTTCAATACAACTTGCGAAAACAGTTTTTCGAAATAAACGAAAATTTACACAAATTTGTCACTTTTGAAATCCCTATAGAATGACTAAGGGTTTCGATTTGTTTGCATTTTTACCTTTTTATAAAAGATATAATTGCTGGAGTCGGACATAAAGCTTTGTATGTATAATTCGTACATAAACTGACTATATTGACTCGCCTTCTGGATCGCTGCGCTCCCTCGTCTATTACTTAAAATCGGCTTGTCAATTATGCCCTGTTTGTTTATATACTTATTATAAGAAAGAACACTACAACAGTACCTAGTAAAATTTTATAGGCATTTCAGAGTTAACCATGAAGGTTGGACCCACAAAACCATAAATCACTAATTCAATGCTACCCTGGATGTTTCTAGCCCACTATACACTGGCGGCACGCTCCCTTGATTGGCGTCATTTTCCACCTGCATTGTCTGACTATTCCTCAAAGTAGCAGTTGTAAAATTTTACTACTGTTGTAGTGTTCTTTCTTTACATAAATATCTATTCTTAGTGAAAAATCTTACTTCATATAGGCGCTGCTGAAAATGATCTCCTAATTGAATGTCGCCGTTCAAGTTTTCTTCTTCAGCGGTCTCCAAAATTCTCTGCTTCTCTGTTTTGGCTGTCCTTAAAGTTCTACACCCTTTAACGTGTTCGAAATATTCCTCTACTAGTCGATTTACATGGTTGAAACGTATACGAAAATCGTTATACACTTTATCAAGGAGCTAAAAATATTTTAGTTATACAAAAGAGTCAAAATTATTTCTTGTGAAAGATTATAATTGAGTGTGCGTTTATGTTTAACATAAATTCCCTTCCTTCAAGTGTTCCAGATTAAATTAGATAATTATTTACACTGAAAAAAGCTTACTGTATTTAGGCGTTTCTTAAAATGATCTCGTAATTCCTTCTCGCCGTTCAAGTTCTCTTCTTCAAATCTCACCAAAATTCTCTGCCTCTCTACCTCGGCTTCCTCTAAAGTTCTGTATTGTTTAATGCATTCTGAGTATTCGTTTATTAGTTGATTTACATTATTGGAATGTAGGCAAAAATCATCATAAACCTTATCAAGAAGCTAAAAATACTTTTGTTATGAAAGATTATATATTCTGTATGCTTTTATGTTTAACTTAAATTCCTATTTCTTAAGTGTTTCAGATTAAATTATATAATTATTTACCCCGAAAATAACTTACTGCATTTAGACGCTGCTTAAAATGATCTCGTAATTCATTATCGCAATTCAAGTTCTCTTCTTCAAATGTCACCAAAATTCTCTTAATCGATTCCTGGGCGTCCTCTAAAGTTCTACATTCTTTCACAAGGTTGAAGTATTTGTCTGTTAGATGATTTACACGGTTGAAAAGTATGCGAAAATCATCGCAAACCTTATCAAGTGACTAAAAATATGTTTGTTGCAGTCGCTTTATACACAAATATGAAAATTATTTGTTGTGAAAGATTATATATTTCGTGTGCCTCTATGTTTAACATAATTCCCTTTCTTCCAGTTCCAGTGTTTCAGATTAAATTATAACGGATGTTCAATGAAAAATCACTCCGAGTAGGCACTGGAATTCCATTTAACACAAACGGCATGTCTACTCTTCTTAACATCCGTTTAACAGAAACATGACATGCTATATGCTATTATGTTATAAGAATAGACATGTCATTAATGTCAAATGATATTCCAACGACTACTGTGAGGCATTTTCCAATTGAACATCCATTATAGATATTTACGCTGAAAAAACTTACTGCTTTTAGGCGGTTCTTAAAATGATCTCGTAATTCCATATCGCAGTTCAACGTCTCTTCTTCAAATGTCACCAAAATTCTCTTAATCGTTTCCTGGGCGTCCTCTAAAGTTCTACATCCTTTCACAAGGTTGAAGTATTTGTGTGTTAGATAATTTATATGGTTGAAAAGTATGCGAAAATCATCGCAAACCTTATCAAGTGACTAAAAATATGTTTGTTGCAGTCGCTTTATACACAAATATGAAAATTATTTGTTGTGAAAGATTATATATTTCGTGTGCCTCTATGTTTAACATAATTCCCTTTCTTCCAGTTCCAGTGTTTCAGATTAAATTATAACGGATGTTCAATGAAAAATCACTCCGAGTAGGCACTGGAATTCCATTTAACACAAACGGCATGTCTACTCTTCTTAACATCCGTTTGACAGAAACAGGACATGCTATATGCTATTATGTTATAAGAATAGACATGTCATTAATGTCAAATGATATTCCAACGACTACTGTGAGTCATTTTCCAATTGAACATCCATTATAGATATTTACGCTGAAAAAACTTACTGCTTTTAGGCGTTCCTTAAAATGATCTCGTAATTCCATATCGCAGTTCAACGTGTCTTCTTCAAATGTCACCAAAATTCTCGTAATCGTTTCCTGGGCGTCCTCTAAAGTTCTACATCCTTTCACAAAGTTGAAGTATTTGTCTGTTAGATGATTTACATGGTTGAAACGTATACGAAAATCGTTATACACTTTATCAAGGAGCTAAAAATATTTTAGTTATACAAAAGAGTCAAAATTATTTCTTGTGAAAGATTATAATTGAGTGTGCGTTTATGTTTAACATAAATTCCCTTCCTTCAAGTGTTCCAGATTAAATTAGATAATTATTTACACTCAAAAGAGCTTACTGTATTTAGGCGTTTCTTAAAATGATCTCGTAATTCCTTCTCGCCGTTCAAGTTCTCTTCTTCAAATCTCACCAAAATTCTCTGCCTCTCTACCTCGGCTTCCTCTAAAGTTCTGTATTGTTTAATGCATTCTGAGTATTCGTTTATTAGTTGATTTACATTATTGGAATGTAGGCAAAAATCATCATAAACCTTATCAAGAAGCTAAAAATACTTTTGTTATGAAAGATTATATATTCTGTATGCTTTTATGTTTAACTTAAATTCCTATTTCTTAAGTGTTTCAGATTAAATTATATAATTATTTACCCCGAAAATAACTTACTGCATTTAGGCGCTGCTTAAAATGATCTCGTAATTCATTATCGCAATTCAAGTTCTCTTCTTCAAATGTCACCAAAATTCTCTTAATCGTTTCCTGGGCGTCCTCTAAAGTTCTACATTCTTTTACAAGGTTGAAGTATTTGTCTGTTAGATGATTTACATGGTTGAAAAGTATGCGAAAATCATCGCAAACCTTGTCAAGTGACTAAAAATATGTTTGTTGCAGTCGCTTTATACACAAATATGAAAATTATTTGTTGTTAAAGATTATATATTTCGTGTGCCTCTATGTTTAACATAATTCCCTTTCTTCCAGTTCCAATGTTTCAGATTAAATTATAATGGATGTTTCATGAAAAATCACTCCGAGTAGGCACTGGAATTCCATTTGACACAAACGGCATGTCTACTCTTCTTAACATCCGTTTGACAGAAACATGACATGCTATATGCTATTATGTTATAAGAATAGACATGTCATTAATGTCAAATGATATTCCAACGACTACTGTGAGTGATTTTCCAATTGAACATCCATTATAGATATTTACACTGAAAAAACTTACTGCTTTTAGGCGTTTCTTAAAATGATGTCGTAATTCTTTCTCACAGTTCAAATTCTCTTCTTCAATTGTCACCAAAATTATCTGTATCTCTGCCTGGGCTTCCTCCAAAGTTCTAAATCCTTTAACGCGTTCGGAGTATTCCTCTATTAGTTGATTTACATGGTCGAAAAGTATATGAAAATCATTATACACCTTTTCAAGTTGCTAAAAAGTCATTTTATACACAATTGTGAAAATTATTTTTTATGGAAGGTTATGCTTTTATGTTTAAACTAAATTCTTTTTTTTTTCAAGTTTTTCAAGATTAACTTATATAATTATTTATACTGACAAAAACTTACTGCACTTAACCGTCGCTTGAAATGATCTTGTAATTCCTTCCCACAATGTATGTTCTCGCCTTTTTCTTGAAATTCACCCAAAATTCCACTCATCACTTCCTGGGCTTGCTCTAAAGTTCGACATTTTTTGACAGTTGTTGTGTATTTCTCTATTAACTGATCCATGAGATCGAGAAGTGTGTAAAACTGCTTATACATTTCATCGAGCAGCTAAAAGCCAGTTTTGTATACAGATATCAAAATTATGTGTTAAGGAATATTATACATTCCATCTACTTCTTGTTTAAGATAAGTTTCCTTTTTTCAAATGTTAAAGATTAAATTGTGTTATTATTTAAAAAAACTTACTTTGGTTAACCGCTGCTTAAAACAGTCTCGCAATTGTTCGTTGCAATCCATGTTGTTGGTATCGTGTTGAAATTTCTTCAGAATTGTCTCCTTTGCTTTCGGGGTCTCCTTTAAAGTTATACATTCCTTAACGTGTTCTATGTATTCCATTTTAAATTCATTCACATGGTCCAAAAGCATGAGAAAATCTGTATACACCTTATCAACTAGCTAAAAGGAGTTTTGTGCACAGGTATCAAAACTATCTGTTATGAGATTTATATACATAAATTATAAAATATACTAAGTGACTTAAAAACTGCAACACCCAGTAAAAATGATTTTTTGGTGATATATTAAATAACATACAAGAAGTAAACGATAAAATTTTCAACCAAAAAAGAAACACAAAATATTGATAAAATATTAATAATGAGTTGCACCTCCCCTGTTCCTTAAGCACTCAGCTACTGGCCTTGACATTGGCAATATTAAATTGTGTATATCACCTTGAGTTAAGTTTGAAGTTTATGGAGGCGGGGTTTGGGGGGGGGGGAGTAACTAGGATATTCTTACACCCATCATATCCCACATATGTTCAATGGGCGATAGATCGGGAGATCTGGGAGGCCATGCCAAGAGGTTTACATGGGAATTTGCAAAAAAGTTTATTGTTCCGCGTGCGATATGAGGACGGGCGTTGTCCTGCTGGAAAAGAGCTTCTAGAAGCTCTTGAATGCATGGTAGTAGAGACGGTCGAAGAATATCGTCAACGTAACGAAGAGATGTCATGTTGTCCCTAACAAAGACAACGGACGATCGGCTACCATACCCAATGGCGCCCCATACCATTACCCCTACAGTGCAGTGTACATGTCGTTCGACTGCAAACTGCATATGCTGCCGTTCTCCTCTCCTTTTTCTCACCCTCTTACAACCATCATGTGTCCCCAAATAGAAGCGAGATTCGCAGCTGAAGACGACATTTTTCCATTCGTCATTCCACTGCTGAGGTTCTCTACACCATTCTAGGCGCTGGCTTTTGTGCTCTGGAGTCAACGGCAACACCAGCTGTGGACGGCAACTCCGTAGTCCGAATTCTTGGATACGACGGTAGCAGATCACATTCCAATATTCCTCCCATCCTCAGCAAACCATTGATCTGCAACCTGCCTGGTCCCGAAGAGGTGACTGTCCTCGTACGTCCAGTGTTTTTCTTCCTCCCACAAACCAGGCCCGACAAATCCGTAAAACAGTTGAGGGGTCGCGATTCAAAATTCGACCAATTTCACAGAAAGACTTTCTCACTTCTCTCATGGCAACTATTCGACCCTGCTCAAATGCATCAGACTGGTAGTACTGTTGAAGCCTTCGTACACCAGGCGTGGTGTTTTATACGAAGATTGTCAGAACAAGCATAAATTGATGACAAAAGTGTTGCTAATAAACAATATTCACTTAAGAAAAATAAAACAAACGACCTCAAAAAGACGGTAACCACATTTGATAAAATTATGAAAACTTTATCATACGTTGTTTTATTGATATCAAATTCGTATACCGAATTTAAGCAAAATATTTCAACCCCTTTTAGGTTTATGTCACTTAGTATATATATGTAACTTACTCGTGTTAACCGTTGCTTAGATATTTCTTGTGCCTCCTTTAGGTAGTTAAAATGTTTGATCATTTTCAGGAATTTCTTCAAAATTCCATTCTTTATCTTCTCGACCTGCTCTAAAGTGGTACATTCTTGTACCTGCTCGATATATTCGTTTCCTAGTTCATCTTCATGGTCTAAAATTGTACGGAACTCATTCAATAGTGCATAAAGCAGCTAAAAAGAAATTTTGATGTCATTTTAAACAGATTTCGAGACTATTTGTTGGGTTTTAACGCAGAAATTGGCTTGAAATTTTATTAAAAAATTATACCTCTGTAAGTTGTTGTTTAAAACTTCCTCGCGTTTGTTCTGTGCCCAACTTCATCTCCCGTGCCTTTTCAAATTCGTTCAGAATTTTACTTTCCTCATTTTTAGCTTGTGTTGTATCTGTACAGCTGCCTAAACGCTTTTTGTATTCGTCTACCTTTCTATTCACGAGATGTCGAAGAGAAATCTCAGCAGTTGCCTAAAAATACCTAATGACTATTGAAAAGCACTGGTTTCAAACGCAAACCATGTAAATTGATTCAGTGCATAACTCTTCAGTTTCATTAATACATCTCCAGTAACCATCAATAAATCTAAATAGCTCCTCGACCGTAACGAATTTATTATTGATCTTTTTCGGCACCAAATTCTTAGAGCTTAAAAGTTTTTCTACAAAGGTTTGCACATGATCCCGAAATATTTTGTTAATATCTAAAAACTCGGTTCAGAAAAAAATTCTCCTACCAATGAAAACCAAAATTACCATTAAAATCGCCTTTAAATTCCCTTGTCTCAACTTGATTTCCAGGCTTTGGCATCAAAAAGCACTGAACTTTCTCAAAGTTATCTTTAATAGTTTTTTGTATTCCACTTAGGTTGGATTGTTGATGTCCTTTGAAAGTAAAAGTTAATAATTCCTTGCCGCCCTCAAAACCAAAATCATAATCTTCAAAATTTATCCAATCTCGAACCAAAATGTACAAATCTTGGAAAGGTTTCTTTTCGTTGTCACTAAACATCGCTCCGTATCCCGCAAATAACTAAAAATAAATAAATAAATTCGCGTAAGTAAAAATAAAAACTTTACTTGTAGAACTCCAAGCTGCTCTAAATCAAGTTTGTTCTGGATGTTGTAAATGTGAACAGAACTAATTAATGCACTGAGGGCAAAAATCTTAATGCATTCATTGTAAGAGGTTTGGTGATCAGACATTCCTTGAGTGTCCATCAAAATTATAGCCATCTAAAACATAGAGCCATATGTTATTTTTTGTTAATCATAATAAAGGGTTCTACTTTTTCGCCTTCTTTTGTTGTCGTTAAAAAAATTTCAGGATATATAAGTATACCATCTGTAACTCTCTGCGCACTTTTTTTCCATAAAAATCCATGAGTCAGGGTGTCGTTCACATCCATCCATTCTCCTTGTACACTTTGGCACTGAGAATTATACAAATTCAAGAAAGGCACTAGATGTAAAAAAAATCACAGTTTAATTTTTTAATAGACATTTTTGAGTTAAACATCACGTGGTTGCAAAATTAGTTGAATTCCAACTTTGATTCAAAAGGTTTTTGATCGTACCACTTTAATCTCATTGCATCATAGAAAATTGGTCTAACGACTTTACACAGAACTTCTCTCGCTCCTGAAGTACAGTCTAACAAACAAAATTTCTTCGAAAAATAAGTTGTTTAGTTCATATTTTTTTTAAGTCGTCCTGTATAAGCAGTTTAAAAATTTGGCTCATGAAACCAACCCAAACACAACTTCATAAGTATGCTATTTTATAAAATGCAAATAACATTTAGCATGCAAAATTGGTGGCTATGATTAGACAAATTTCGATTATCTTTCTATCATCTACACGATATTCCTGAAATACTTTAATTTTTTAAATTTGACAACAATCGGTTGGGTAGTTTCTGAGATTATCTATCGAATAAAAACTGACACAGACGACAGAAGACAGTCTTTAGACAGAAACAAGGGACCTATTTCAAGAAAGATCGAGAAAATATGAAAGTAACTGTTCGCCAAACGGACTCTCATACAATACTACTTTAATTAAATCCGAAAAACAAAAATTAGAAAATATTTTTAAAAGTTGTTTTAATGATACAATACTTCACCTTCTTCTTAAGACAATGCAGAAAGAAATTGAGAAGAAAAGATTTGCCGGTTCTGTAGCTTCCATTGACTGAAATGACGCAAACTTTGTAATCCTTGAACTTATCGTTTTTTAGTAACTCTAGTTGATCTTCGTAAAGTATCATTTTTCCAGTCTTTGTATCGAATTTGAATATTCCGATGGCATCTTGTTGGTTACTCTGAAAAAATCCAAAAAAATCGTGCTGTGTTGATATTGTAAAGATCTTATAGAGCTGTTTTAATTTAAATTGGGCACTGATTGGACGATTGTAATCAAAGATAATATATCTATGTAATCTTTATACTTCTATTATACGATATCTCTCAATACCTACTTACTTTTTTTGGAAGGATGGACACACTTTTAAATGAACGCTTTATAGTACCTGAATCTGAAGCCATTCTGAAGCACTTTATTTAGATTTGCTCATTAAATTTAGTTACTGTAAGAAATACAGTATATGAGAACAACCTGACTTTAACTTTAAATTTGTTTCACTCTTTACTTCTTGCACCGAATGCTGATTGATGCTGGTGTCTTTTCTTTCGGGCATTCCCGCAAGAAGGAAATCGGGCGCAATTATATATACACTGGTTTCTTTAGAGGAGACATCTCCTGAACTATTTTTTTTTAGACTCAAGAATTCATTTTATCAGTTTTTGTTATCTTTAAATTAGATTATCGCGGATCGATTATTCGGTAAAGTTTGGTGAAAATAGATGTCAACTACTGCTTGAGCGATATCTAAGGACAATTATGTTTGTTAAATACAACTCCTTTTTATAATACCAATGTTTATTGAAACGAAACTGTGTATGTGTTGCTTGATATGTAATAATTTTAAAAAGTAATTATTTTGAAAATTAAAACTTACTACTCTTAATTCCTACAGCTGTCAGCATTGATAGTCATAGTCATGTTAATGGAAGGAGATTATTCCCATCACAGAATGGTTTCTTTTTTTATGATTTTTTTGCAAAATTTTTTAAATTATATCTTCGAATATTATCATATTGTGGTGACCGAATTTGAATTAAAATTTCGCACTGAAAAAAAATAACAGCTGCGCGAAATCACGTTTGAATAATTTAAATTTGAAAAAAAATGCAATCAAAAACTCGATAAACATAGGCAACATGTGCACATTGGCGCTTTTTGGGTAGTGCGTAGTTCTGCTTGGAATTTTAGTTAGAGAGAAGAGGGTAGTTTGGTAGATGTGTCATTCTGTTCGGTGGTTTGGTTTGTTGTTGTGAGTGAAGACCACGTGGTGAGTAAGCTAGGTTAAGTTTAGCTGGTTTGGTAGTCAATAGAAAAGGGAGAGCCTTTGTTTAACGGAAATTAATTGTAACGACGACGATGCCACAGTTCCCCAAACACGAGCAGCTAATTCTTGCGTTTTTTAAAGCGGAAATATGCGAAATATTATTGTTTGTAAATTCACAGTTCATGTTAGGAGTTTAATCGTTAGCTAGTTCTAACACAATTTAACAATCAGGAATTTATTTAAATAAGCACTTGCAGGAATTTCCATGAAATTCACTTAGTCAGAACTCGTTGATTTTGTTTGTCTAATTATGAATAAGGTTTCTGGATGCTTATAGTTAAGTGTTACATTATAACACTTCTTAATTCTTCATACAAGATTGCTAATAGTTCATTTACGGCAGTTAAAATTAACCTAACGTTATCCCACTCTGGGAAAAGGACCGAAGAAAAATGCGGCAGAATTCATGATATTGTAGCGGCACAATAACACATGGGTAAGCAGAGCAAAGATAAGTTGTCTTGTGGTGCAGCGGTTAGCATACCAGCCCGGAGTGCTTGGAGACGTGGGTTCGAATCCCACCGAGGCACAACATTTTTCTCTGCTTACCTATATTGGTGACCTCCGACAGGCAACGCGCACGCAACATCCTTCTGCCACCGCCCTGTGCCCGCTGTGTTCGGGGTCCGCAGCACCGCCAGGGTTCGAACAACGACCGTAAGAGTGGTAGGGGCGACGCCAGCATTTATCTCCTTCGCACCCCAGCACGACCGCGCGCTGTGTCGCTGGGGGGGGAGTACTGTAGCGGCACAATAACACATGGGTAAGCAGAGCAAAGATAAGTTGTCTTGTGGTGCAGCGGTTAGCATACCAGCCCGGAATGCTTGGAGACGTGGGTTCGAATCCCACCGAGGCACAACATTTTTCTCTGCTTACCTATAATATCGTGGACTGAGGGACTGAGGGATTAATTTTCACCCTTAGGCCCACTTTTACCAACCAGGGATAAACCAAGGATAACTCTATTCCTTAGATAAACGTCGGATAGCGATTTTACAATCATAGGATAACTACGGAATAGATAAAATTAGGGATAAACAACGGTATTTCTTAACCCCCGCTGTGGACATGGGATTTATCCAAGGAATAGTAATTAATAATAACACTATCCCACATCATTTTCATAACTGATTTGAAACTATTGACTCTATTTTTTCTTTTAGAAGGTGTAGATCCACATTATTCTCTCGTTTCTTCAGTTTTGTCAAAATGAACAACATAACCTCCAAAAAGTTAACCTACGATGGTTGCATGTACATAAATTGCTTTTTTCACGAATTTAGATTTATAATATTCCTATTCACTCTAATCAGCATAATAAAAAATCGAGACACACTCTGAAAAAGTCGTATTATAATCGCTAATGCACATTATTTATTATTAACCCATTAGCCCTTGCTACGTGACCCAACCATAGCTGTCGATTGCCGCTGCAAAGATGATAGAATGAGAAACTTCTACATTGTTGAGGAAAATTGTGAGAGTAATGTTGTCACAAAGCAGATCCAAGGAAAAATTTCTGCATCATAGAAAAATTGCTTTGGTAATGTTACTGTAAAGAAGATCCAGGAGGAGATGAACATTGTGGGCGTAATTCACATTCACGCATGAATCTCATCACCGAGAAAAAAATGGGAATAAAATTGTAATTTTGATTACTAACGTTAATGTTAATGTCAATGTCCCTTTGGACGTCCCATTCGTCCTACCTGGCTCCTGATCTCTTCATTACTACCGGAATCAAAAACTTCCACCTGTTCTCCCCATATTTATTAAAATTTCTGTAAACTTTTGGATAACACACTTCTGTTGTGTCAATATTTTTGACATTTTACGTATCATTTTGTTACCAACATCACAACAAAATTAGGTAAACCGAGGGATAACTAACGATCAGATAAAAAGTATTGTAAAAGCAGTACCGATTTATCCAAGGGCTAAATGACAGGATATATTTATACCTTGGATAACTATTCCCATGTTTATCCACGATTTGTAAAAGTGAGCCTTAGTCAGTTATTATCATCATATATCATCGTCACATCACCGAGATATTGCCTCGCAACATCGAAAATTACATCACCGAGAGGCATATTTCCTCGCAACGCAGGACGCATTTTGTGTTTATTTATTATGTGTTTTGTTTGGGATAAACAGTACACGATATAAACTCTCAACGCTAATTATTTTAAATAACGAATCACTTGGATCAAGGGATCATTTAACATAATGCAAATTTTTTGCTTGAATCGTTGATCAAGTGTGGTATAATTTAACATCAGGTAAATTATTTGTTCTGGCAGCGGCCAAGTTGAAAGAGTGTTTTCGAACCGAGCACATGTTTGAACTTAAAATCTCATTGAACAAATTAACAACATTGTGGGTCATGTGAGACGCGCATTTTATTCCTTTGATTTAGACCATTATTTGCACAACACCACAGGATGAATCACATTTCTAGGAAACATAATTTTGAGCCTCCAGATTGTCTGCTATGTTTATGTTTTATGTGTTTGTTTGGGGAAATGTAAAACGATGGCCCACAATGCAGCTGAATAACTTCACTTAAAAATCGATCAATAACTCGAAAGGACATAAAATATTAAGCTCATGTAATTTTGTAAGCTTTGCAATTTTTCACATAATACAATTTTTCTCTATCTCACAATTTTAGTCTCAGTAAATTTCTTTGCGATATAATTTAAACTGAATGTAAATTTCCATGCGCTGCAATTTCTAGCCTCATGTAATGTTTTTGTCTGCGCAAGCTTTATTTCACACCGGATCTTTTTTTGTTTTGATAAATCTTTACTGGTTTTTGTTTAGTAAATCTTTTGTTGATGAATGTTTCCATCATGTAAATTGTCTGATGTCCAGTCTTAATCTCAGATAAGAATTCTTTGCTGTTTAAAACTTCACGACAGTGTATGGCGAATTTAAATGTTGTTTATTGCTCCTTTTGAAACCTTAACACTTGTTCAGTTGTAGTTTAATATCAGAGTCGTAGAAATCGAACGTTTAAATGGAATTGAGGTTAAATAACATAGAAACACGTGCTGGAAGCGGAGTGCGCGGTTCCTTGTCGAGCTGTCAGTCGCGGCATCTGCACGAAGGACGTAGAGTTATGATAGAAGTCAGGGGAACGGTCGGGAACACGTGATTTTGTCCGACGTTTAGTGTTTTGCGACTTCCTGAGGGCTCAATTACGGGACAATCAAGATTTTTTATTTAACGTTTTGTTTATGGATGAAGCCACATTTACCAATAACGGGTGTGTAAACAGACACACCTCACATTACTATGCCCAGCAAAATCCCTATTGATATCAGGAAAAGCACTTCCAAGAAGTTTTCAAAGTTAATGCTTGGTGTGGAATTGTTGGTAACCACGTCATTACTAAAATACTTAATAATTGCAAGTTCGCAATTTATCGAGTGTTTTGTTATGCGTATTTTGTGATTATATCTGCGATTATAATCGATGTTAATTATAGAATTTGACACTATCCGATCGCGTGTCTCATCATTGTACATATGGTAAAGTTTCATAAAAGTATTTTTGTCTTGTCGTATAAAAAATTAATTTCCATTGCAATTGCAATTAAATGTTAAAAATGAGCTGACAGGGTTTTTGCTGTTTTTGCGAATCTTTTTCCACATCTACGCCTCTTCGTCACCTGGGGTGCGATTTTGTTTCTCGATCGAAAAAAACTCGATAGTGATAAAATCTCGTTTGCTGATAGATTGAGAGGCTGAGTTGGTGAGACACTTCTGTCACATTTCTCGATTCTGTCACGAAATCAAGGGTGCGATTTTGTTTCTCGATCAAAGTGATAAATTATCACTGGCGATAAATGTCATTGCGTAGCTTTTAAATGCAAAGTTTGCATTTATTCTTTGCATATAAGCTTATTAAATGCTCAAAAGTTTACAATTACCTTAATTTTAAGAACTTATAACTCAGAATTACGATTTTGAACTTCTATTTTAACATAAATTTCGAGGTTATGTCTCCAAAATTTATCACTTTACTCAGAGCTACCGAGAAAATATTCGTTTGAGCGTGATCAATCGTCAGTAAAGAATATTTTAAAATTTATTAACCCCAGCTTTGATGACGATAATATTAAAATTCAACGATTGGGTCGACGATCCGATACTAAGGCCAGACCTATAAAAATCATTCTACGTAATGACCTGGAGGTTCTAAGTTTTATAAAGAATGCCAAGACTTTACGGAATTCACCTGAGCACAAAAAGGTATCCATTTCTTTTGACAAAA